CTTGTGTTTCATAGGTCATCGGCCTTAGTAGCCCTCTGAAATTGAGGCCAACACCACCACACCAGAAGACCGCTCTCACCATCTTAGTCATAGTCGAGGCCCTCGCCATAGAAGACCACTCGGTGCCTCCCAGCAAGGATGACACACTCTCTTCGGCCGAAACCGAGGTCCTCAACCAAGACCACCACAGCCTCGAGAGTGGGGGCAAATGATGTAGGTGCTTTAGGCAGGTCAGTAGCATGCCGACACGCGGTTGAGGGCGGTGCGCAGCGCGGGACCAATGGCGCGGCCACACATGATAACCTCGGATGGCTGCGCTCCCAAGGCTAGATCACATCCTGACCGTGTGTGCCAGTCTACCTCTAGATGGTTTCAAGTATAAATAGGGGCTACCCCCCCCCCCCCCCCCCCCTGAAATTTGGGCTGGAAACCCACTAATCCAAGCTCTCTAACCCTCGGGCGACCTCATATGAGCTACTCTACTTAGGCCTTGTCCACCCTCTTTGCTACGCCCTCACTAACTTGATAGTTGGAGTCCCTGCCTCGGGCTAGTGCCTGGAGCCTCTGACGTTCTCTTCTCCGTAGGTTTTCAGCTTCAGTCGACTTCAGACACACGCAGGTCCTCAACCTCGATACCCCTCGGACTCCACTGGTTCTCGGCCTCGGCACCCCTCAAACTCCACTGTCCTCGGCCTTGTTAGCCCTTGGATTCAACAGTTGCCAACTCGTCCTGGAAGCGAAGCTATAGAGTTGTCCTCAGCCAATCTGAGCATCAACAATAATATTTCATAATATTGATTTTTTTTTATAATTTTCAATATATAACCTAGTTTTCTAATACAGTTTTATTTATAATATTTTAAATATTAATTTATTTATATTTTTTAATAAAAACTTATTTATAATTAATTCAAGCCAAATCAAGCTCGAAAAGATCACAACTATCAATCCAAATTCAAGTAGAGCAAGTATGAAACTCAAAACTCGATCAAGCTCAAATCAAATTTCAAACTGGGATTTTGAATCAAACTCGAGATCAAACCACCCAAAACTCGACTCAACTCGGCTAGGCTCGATTACACCCCTATCTCGCATGAATTGACACAATATCACTCAACATTCTTCTATCTCGGTGACCAAGATGAACACATAACAGTTAAAATCAGTCTATGTATCATGCCAGCAACTAAGTAATGTTTCAAAAACTAATATGGTAAGGCACCATTTAGCTCTTTGTGAATTGTGACAACTGATAACCACAACCACCCAAAACCCGGGTTAAAACCTGAGACCAAACCAAATGAAGCTGAAATTGACGATTTGGTTTGATACTTTGATTTGGATATAAAAAACAAATTGGTTCAGTTTGGGATTTTTTTTTTTAATTTCAGTTTACAGTTTCAATTCAATTTCTTGAATGTTAGAAACCAAACCAAACCATAAACAAAACCTATACTACTTCAAAAAGCACAAATAACCAAAAAAACATTTCTAGAATTTTCTCAAGACAAAATTTATCCCTCCATATTTAAATTTATTGATAAAATAAGAGGGCAAATGGTGGAATCGATTATTGATATTAAATGAGTTTAGAAAGGTAATATTAAGATATTCAATGCATTTCAGTTGGTAGGTTCTCTGACTCGTCGGAGTAGAGACCTGGGACCAAATCCCGCTGCCACCAGGGGGGGTAAGGGAAAGGGGATGGGCTACTCCCTGTTGTGTAGCCCCATGAAGCAAAAAAAAAAAAAGATATTCAATGCATTGAATCCTCTCTCATTAAATCCAACATTTAAGTTATTTATTTGCATTTACCTTCATTGAATCATATATTTAAGGCATTTTTGTTTCTTCTTGTCATTAAATTCTATTAATTAAATCCATACAGAATAAATTAATAATTTCAATAACAAAAACTTATACTTTTAAAATATGCCTAAAAAAATAGTGTTTTCATCTAGGTGGTGGTAAGAAATTAAACCATTTTGAGTCAAATGGGTCAATCCATGTTTCTACAATTAAATAACAAAATTCAAAAATAGATAAAATGTAAAAATTAAAAAAAATGAGGACACTTTTATCATAGTATATTCAATATATTAAACAATGATAAGTATGATAAATAAGAAATATTTTAATTAATGATGAAAATGGAATATAAAATTTAAAACCAATTGAGAAAAAAACTATTTTTCATATTCTCTCATTAAATTTCATATTTAAGGTATATTTTCTCATTAAATCATATATTTAAGATCTCATCATTAAATTCTACTAATTAAATACACAATATTAATTTTAATAGCATAAAAATAAATATTTTGAAAAGTAATTTGACCATTTTCTTCCCTCTTGGTGGGGGATAAGTAATTTAACCATTTGGGTCAATGGGTTAACTAATAATGCCATAATTAAATAATAAATTAAAAATAAATAAAATATCAAAATACAAAAAAGAAAAAGAATTGGGTATATCTCTAATATTAGATATTCATTATAGTAAACAAAAATAATTATTATATGTAAGAAGTAATTTTATTAATGATGAAAATGGAAAATCTAAAAACAACTTAGAAATGAAATGATGTCATAATCAAATAAGAAAATATTTAGAAAAAATATAAAGAATCACAAAAATAAAGAAAAAATTTGGGGCACTTTTTTGTTGTTATATATTTATAAAAATAAAAATACTAGGTACATTTCTAATACTATACATTGATTATATTGAAAAAAATAAGTGCATAAGAAATAATTTTATCAATGATAGAAATGTAATACAAAATTTAATGTTGATTAAGAAATCAAACTATTTTCTTTTTAGGTGGTTGGTTAGTGGTTTGGGTCAAATGGATTAATTGATGATATGATAATTAAATAATAAACCTTTAAAAAAAAATGCAAGTAATCAAAAGAATAAAAAAATTATATCTTAATTATGTCAAACAAAAATTAAGTGTGATAAGTAAAAATTATTTATATAATGTAGATGTAATATATAATTTACAATTGATTCAAAAGTAAAACTATTTTCTTATCTAGATGGTGGGTCAATGATTCAACTTTTCAAAGATACTCATGATGTCATAGTTGAATAAAAAATGTTTAAAAAAAGATGGAACACAAAGAACGAAAAGGTAAAGAATTTTGTTAAAAACTTTTGAAAACATTTATCATATTAAATTAAAATATTTGTTAAAATAAAAATTTATATTGCCACAATTAAATAATAAAATTCAAAAATAGATAAAATGAAAAGAATATAGAAATTAAAGACAAAAATTGAGAACATTTTTAACATCATATATTTGACATATTAAACAATAATAAGTATTATAAATAAGAATGCTTTTATTAATATTGGAAATGGAATGTAAAATTTCAAAGAAAATGGAAGTAAAACTATTTTCCTATATATTCTCTCATTAATCCTATATTTAAGACATATTTTTTATCATTAAATCCACAACATTAATTTTAATAGTATAAAAACAAATATTTTGAAAAATAATAAAAAAAATTTTTTCTTCCCTCCTAGTGGTGGGTAAGCAATTCAACCATTTAGGGTCAAATGTGTTAATAAATAATGCCATAATTAAATAATAAAAAATTAAAATAAATAAAATATATAATACAAAAAATAATAAGAATTAAAGATATCTCTAATTTTGTATATTCATTATACTAAACAAAAACAAGTATAAAAATATAAGAAGTATTTTTATTAATGATGAAAATGGAATTCCAAATTTATAATCAACCTAGAAATAAAAGGATGTCATAATCAGATAATAAAATTTTTAAAAATAAAAAATACAAAGAATCACAAAAAATAGAGAAAAATATGGGCACATATCTAATGTTATATTTTTATAAAAAATAAAATATTGGGTGCATCTCTAATATTATGCATTTAGTATATTGAACAAAAATAAGGAGTTTTTGATAAAATAACAAAAATAAGTATTAAACATAAGAAATAATTTTATTAATAATGAAAATGTAATACAAAATTTAATGTAATCCTAAAAATCAAACCTTTTCTTTTTTGGGTGGTGGGTTAGTGGTTTGGGTCAAATGAATCAATCGATGATATGATATTTAAATAATAAATCTTTAAAAAGATAAAAAAAGTATAAGTAATCCAAAGAATATATAAAATATATATATATTAATTATATCAAACACAAATTAAGTGTAATAAGTAAAAAATATTTATATAATGTTGATGAAATATATAATTAAACTCATCTGAAATCAACGCTATTTTCTTATCTAGATGGTGGGTCAATGATCCAACTTTTTAAGGAAAATCATAATGTCATAATTGAATAATAAATATTAAAAAAAAAGATAGAAAACAAAAATGAAAAAGTACAAAATTTTGTCAAAAACATTTGAGAATATTTCTAATGTTACATATTCATCATATTAAACAAAATAATTGTTAAAATAAAAATTATTTGTATTTATGACAAAATACAAAATTTAATAATAATAATAATAATAATAATAACAATAATAATAATAATTGTTATTGTAATTTAAAACTTCTAAGTGCAATGCATGCACACATTGCTAGAAACATTTAAGTTTGTTTTTAATCATATTGTTACTTTTGTTAATTTTCAATTTTTATCTGTAAAATTTAAGTAATTAATATGAAGAAAAATATCTCATGTGCAATGCACGTACTTAATTACTAGTATATAAAATATACAATAATATGTAATATATAATAAAATAAACTTTAAAAACTATATTTGGTTATTAATGGAATGGACATCAGGGTATTAAAAATATATTGTTCTAACCAAGTTTAAACCGTTTCCATGCCAAAACAATTTGATTTTTTCGGTATGACAATAAAAACAGTTTGATTTGGTTTGAGAAATTCTCAGACCGTATTTTACTGGTTCAGCCTGGGATCTCCAAAAGCATCCGTTAGCTGTCCAGGTTACCAATTCATGGGTTCAACCATCCACACTCTACATCCAAGATGACAGACTATAATGGTGAAAGATTTATTTACCTGCGACATTAGTAACTTCCACCTAATAAAGCATACCAATTACATTGTTGGGTGCATCTCGGAGATGCCTCATGAATATTTGATGATCATGTTAAAAAAAAAAAAAAAGCTTTTGCATGCATTTCCTCATCCCTGTTCACTAACTGAAGACCTGGAATGCATTTCAGATTTGGAGGGCATCTGCTATGGACCCTGCAAGACTAAGAACTTCAAAAGGAGCCTTGTTTGCTATAGCCTTCACAGTTAGGGGGCAGGAATCTGTGATCCAGAAGTAGGTGAACGCCTTCTCTGAGTTCTCTGAAAAAATGGACTGAAATTAGAAACTGAAGAGAAAATAATTAATAAGAAGGCTATGTCTGAGTAGGTAACAATAAAAAAGCATACCATCGTCTTTGTGGGTGAACCGCTGGTATGACATCTTGGGGAAAACTGCATGGGTGACATAAGCACTAACCTTTGCAGCACCATGAGCAGACAAAACTTTCTAGAAGAGTCACACAAACACAAGTATCAGTACAACCATGATTACTTAAAATCATGTTCACATTTAGGTTCTTGTTTCTCATGACTGCGTGCCAACCTCCTTTTGTTTTTTCATGCTAAAGATCAGTTAGTAAGATCAATTGGATTTCTAATGCAAAGACAATATAAAATGCAACTCCATGAGGAATGTGAGGAAAGGGGGATCAAACGGTAGTAACACCAGCAGCCATAATAAAACTTAAAGAGAACAATGGTCTTATTTTTTCTATGTAAAAATTAGGAGCACAAAAGACCATAGTCTAAAGCTCAAGCTCTGATCTCCTGAGCACTTGATCGAACTAGTTTTCCCAAGATTGAAATCCAATGTTTCTTAACTTCATCATCCAACTAGTATTACAAATATATCATTGTTTTTTCTTCCCTCTTCCCCTGTTTTATACAGCCAAAGGCAGTCAATTAGGCGATCCTACAGGGAGAAATCACCAACTTGGTTATGCTTGGCACATAAACTAGAGGGAGAAATCTTTAATTCTGCAATGATTGGACGAAATACTCTCCAGGAGAAACATCAATGGGTTTCAAATTATCATATTGAGTGGACCAATTGGTATCAAGAATACATCCTTGCAATTCCCAGTCTCTAAAAGTCATATCCTTAATGCCACCAACCCTTGACTTTGTACCATGCTCTAGTATTTGGGACCCTCCCTTTATATTTTTACAAACATTGTAACTATCAAAACGAACAAAACAAATGCAATACACAGACACACTCAAATACTTTTGTTTTTTAATACCTTTTACAAGGCATACTGGCACAATGACAACAAGGTATTTATTACATGTTTACACAATTCATACCTGACATTCAATAAGTGTTCCTCCTGACTGTACCAAGTCATCAACAATAACCACGTGACGACCCTCAGGATTTCCCTCCTTGAGGCGAACAATCCTCTTATCACCTTCACGAACCTTGGTGCACACAATCTGCCCATTCAATAAGAACAAAGCTCCAAATTAATAGCACCAGTCAACAATAGTAAACCAAACTTGAACATAGGGGAATGAGCCCAACCATTGGAAAATGCTGCAACTGCTTGTAGAATCGCTTCCATGCTCCATCGTCTGGAAATGCAATGCTGATCTAGAACAATTGTTAAAGATCATCGAGTTAAAAAATTCATGCTGTCAAGGTCAAATCTGATTTAGGGTCTGTTTGATTTGCAATCGGAATCGGAATTGAAATCCTCCAGAATAGGAATTGGAATGGTCCATTCCCATAGTCTGTTTGGTTCAGACAGGAATGGGAATGAGAATTGAAATCAACAGGAATGGGATTTCATTCCCAAGGGAGGGGCAGGGCCATTCCAGCAGGAATGGGAATGGGATTCCAATTCTATCCGACCAAACAGTTGGAATTGGAATAGTCCATTCCGATTCCAGTTTCAGATCCCTATTCCCATGAACCAAAATGCAAAAAAATTAAAAATACTAAACATAATATAAGAAATATTAATAAAAAAATAAACTTAAAATTTAAAATAAATATTTTAAAAAACCTATTATCTAAAATTAAAATACATAAACATAACATGTAAAGCATATTCATATGAAAATTTAAAAATAAAATCAAACATATAAAACATTTTCAATCATGTAAAACCCACAATTTCTTTTTTCCTCAATTGCATTACTTCAAAGTTCAAATAGCTAATGTGATGTAAAACATCTTGGATTCTTGATTCTACAAGCCACCTTTGTACCAAACCCCTTGAGGCAAGCCCAAACAAGTCCATGTTAGGGTCTTAAATTCTTAATCCTTACACAAAAAAAAATGATTTTATAATTTTAATTGTCTTTTAAGAGGATATTTTACTAGGATGAATGAATGAACAAAATTAGAAAATAGAGGTTACTCCACTTCAGCCCAGCCATTAAGTTCAAAAGAGAGCAAAAGCACAAAAAATAAAAAAGGCACACACCTGGTCTGAAGTGCAAGGTGCATGCCTTAAAATGCGCCTTGCCTGAGTGCCAAGGCGCACCTTTTAAAACACTGCTCAGATCCTCGTATAAGAGATCCAAGTCCAATCCTATAATAATTGGACCAACATGGAGATTCAAGCTCCTAATAATCAAAGATGTTTGTTTTGAAGAAAAAATAAATAAATCCTAAAACTTAAACAAAAGCTACACCATTCAGAAACCACATCAACAAAATCTTCTATATTAAACATTCATAAAACCTTCTACCAAAAACAAATAAAATTAATATGCAGAATAGCAGAAGTTGGAAAATATATACAAGTACATATATGCAGATTTGCAAAAAACTGTATGTCAGTGTGAATCTTAGAGAGAGAGAGAGAGAGGACCAAAGTATGAGAAAATCCAAAACATGTTCTGATCATAGGCACATAGAGGTGAAGATATTTTCTTTAGGATCCATACATCCCTTATCCTATTGAAAATAATAGTGAACACAGTAACAAACCATGTAAACAATAACAACAAAGGAACTAAAGAAGCAGTAAAAACATTTTTTACTGGCATCACATTGAACATTTCAACAATAGTGTCGCGTAAAGTAGGAAATGGGTCCAGGATTCATTTTTCTTGGATGCCTGGTGAGATAACAGAACCCTTTTTTGAAATCTTTCCAAAATTATATGCTACCACAGAAAACAAGGAGGCAATTGTGATTCAACTATATAAACTAGTTGATAACAATGCAGCTTAGACTGCAAATGGGAACCCTTGGTGCCATCTAAACTTGCTTTCATGACTTGGACTGCAGTCTAACGGCTAAGCAGGAAAAATTGATTAGTAGAGGTAAGGAAAATCCCACTTCCTGCTGTATGTTTTGCAATTTGAATTTCAATTAGCAAACCATCTTTTTGTTCATTGCTCAATAAATTCTAAATTGGGCTCATTTCCTCCAATTTGTCAACATCAGTTGGGTCTTCCCAAGAACAGTTAAGAAGCTTTGATTGAAAGGTTCATCTATTAGAGTTCTTAAATAGGAGGTGTAAGATAACTTATCAAAAAAAAAAGTGCAAGATACTAAGACTGCTTGGAATTCCATCACTCAGCAGTAAATATGGTCAGTTTGGACTCAAAGGAACATGACAATTTTTTTTACAATAATGTATCCCGGGAAGATGAAATTTTAAGGAGAGCGGTGGCAAATGTTCATGTTCACCTTTGATAAAGATGAGATTTTAAGTAGTGGACCTGGTGGGAAGGGTTCACTCTTCACCTTTAGTAAACAAGGCATTCAAGGATGTTCCTCTTTGTTCCAATTCTTCTTTGGACATTTGTTTTTGATTATATCCAAACTCTTATCTATGTTAAGTCACTCATCATATAGGGATAGCTTGATCTCTTAGTATAACTCTTGCAAGTTTCCCTATTTAATGCATACATTACATTACTGCCTTTCAAAAAATACCAGCAAAATTTATAAATTTATGTTGGGGTGGAAGTTAAAATTTACTCACATTATCAGCATCAGGAAGCTCGTTAAGACGTTGCTTCAACAATGGTATCCCAGTTTCAAAACAAGGCAAAACTTGATCGCTAAAATAAAACCTTTCCTGTGTAAATCAAGAAAGAAACTTCTGAGACCAGAATCAAAATTTACAAGATTGAGCAATAAAGAAAATTTTGACACTAGGATCATGTTCATCATGCTGAGAGCACATGCATGTATGTGCAGGCATACCATTTACCCATTCCCAAGGCATATGAGCACCCCCCATGGTAAAATCAAGAATAGGGACTGAAGAATAAAATGCCAACATAATTATAATCAGTTTAGATGTAGACATAAGTTCTAGGATCAATTTTTAATATTTGAAAGGCCCAGTTGATAAATTAATCGTTTACATAAACAGCAGCAACAATAAAAAGAAGCTAATAAAGTAATAAGTACATGATGCTTACTTTTTGTTTCTTTTCTTTTTTTTTTAGTTTTTTTTTTCTTTGGTTGGATTGATAAAAAAAATTGTATGAAAGACCAAAAGATATATAAGAGCATTCAAGTACAGTATAAAAGAAATAAGAAAAGAGAGAAAAAGACCAGAAGCTTTCAACAAACCAAAACACCTTGATGAGCTATATAAAAAAGGAACCTTGACTAAAGAAGAGGTTAGACAACAAAAATAACCAACAGAAGCCCAACTCAGAAAGAACAGATCCCCCAAAATAAGGAAATTAGAACTATGTTTCAAACCCATACTAAAATGACATCCATTTAGAAGTTACTCATCCATGCTTTCCCCTCCCCCAAACTTTAACTGTGCCTATTGTCCTTTCAGGCGCTCCTTTTACCTTGCAACTCTAATTAATTCATTCAAAATCTCATCACAGTTCGTCTACTCCACACTACACTCTAAGTACCACAAACCTCTCACTGCCTCCACAAGCCTTCTTGACCTTATGCTGTTAATGATCATGATGAACAAATAATTAAAGTATTTGATCCAACCCCCAACACCTGGAAAAATCCCACTTCCTGCTAACTTTAGCAGAGTGATTATTAACTTAAAAATAGACTTTTGCTCTTGATTGACCTCCTGCTCATTCACTATCAACTTCAAATCATCAAATGAATCAAACTCCCCAAATCCTTCATTACCACTCCAAGAGTTGGATACAGTTTTCTGAAAGGAAATAAAACTTTTTTTTGATAAGCAACAAAGGGAAAATATTCATTAAACACCAAGCAGCACACGAAAAGTACAGCCAAAAAAGCGTACAATGCTGGGCCTCCCAAGAGGCCATCCACAGCTGACAACAGAGAAAAAAAAATACAACAAAGCAAACTAGCAGCCGGTCCTGGGCATCCCTAATCTAAACAAGATTTGCCAACCCCAGCCTTAGACAGAGAATCAGCCAACATATTAGCATTCCTAGGCATCCATTTGACTGAAGCACTCAAATCAACACCTGGAGTTTGATCCATTCTGACTATAGGTCTGAACTTTCAAGGAATTTGGTCTTGCCTTGTCATCCAGCCTAAAACCAGTCACCTTCAACTTCCACATTCCTTAACTCCTGCCTAACCAACAACTTCAAACCCTGAACCAAGGCCAAAAGTTCAGCTCTAGAAGAATTTCCCTGTCCCACTGGGCCTGAAAAGCTTAGTATGATACTACCCTCATGGTCGCCAAATGACAATCTACCTCCATATGAAATCTTCTGAAGTTTCTTTGCCACAGATTAAGATACAAAGATGACTGCAGAATGCTTAAAGCTTATTGGTTTTACCAATCCTTTACAGGCACTAAGTTGTAGGGAAACCTATCCCCACTTCTCTCATCAGTTGTTAGACTTTCCTCATCAAATGTCTATACTGCATAGAACTTTGCAACAATTTTTCAGCCAATCCATCACTACCTTGGAGTTCCTTCCACCTCTATATTTCTAAACCAAGGTCTCCACTCAGCCTTGGATCTTGAAGGATAGTCAATATTTGAGCACTTATCATATTCCCAACACCTATTGGTCTAGAAAATATGGCTGTTATTTCTTGAAGGTTGTTTCAAAACACTCCTCCAGTTTTGGCCAACCCTGCATTGCCCATACTGCATCTCTCAAAATTTAGCTTTAGCAGATTGTTGTTTGGTGGGATCCACTCCACTGGAAGTGTTGATCTTGTTGTAGGTGATTTTTCCACCAATAGCCATCCTCTCATAATGTCATCTGTAGAGAAAGGGGCAAAGATATCTAGTATTCTAGTGTTTCTAGCCAATGAACCACTCTAACCTAGATGTTCTCTAATAAGACTTCCCCTTAGAATGAGATTTCTCTAAAAAATCTCTCACTCCTTTCTTCCCAAATGGTCTATAAAATCACTGCCCTTTGTATAGACTTCCAACATCTTCAAGAAAGTTCCACCTGCAATCAAAAAGAGAAAAAAGGCCACTCCCAAATACAATATGCAAACACAGGCGACCAGTAAATGGAAAGTTGGAAATTAGATTGACCATTTGCATTACAAAGAAAGCATTGATGTACATATCATTCTTTCTTTCATATCAAATTATCAATAAAATCTTAACCATTTAACAATTTAAAATGTTATAAAAGAAAACATTTATGGTGTAATAAATCCCAATATTGTCTTCTTTTTTGTAAGATCTCACAGGTGTCAATTTTCAGGTGATGGACCTCCCAACAAAATGTCCTAATTTTTGTGGAACCAACCCATTCCAAATAGCCTTAACTAGGAGAGCCTTGGAGACTTGGGGTGAGAAGGGTATTGAAGAAGGATTCACAAGATAAGGAAATCAAAAACATGCTACTCTTTTGTAATGTCTAAGACTAAGAAATCATGGACCCTTTGAGAAAATGACCCATATCAAATGGAAGTAGTAAAAAGATACAATGAAACCATCCTCCTGGTATATCTGATCCCTAGTAAGTCTCCCCTAGTAACCTTAATGGTTTAACCCCATCTAGGTTGTCATTCAATAAAATTGCAGACCTTGGAACCAACTGAATGAGTTCACTATGGACACCAAGCACATACAATCTAGTGCCACTCCATAAATTCAGAAATTTCCACATTGGATGGTCCTTTTCTACTCCTAATCTCATTCCTGCTGCAGTTTCGCTTCTGGGCATTTACTTCCAACTCTGGCCAAAAGTTGGTCTTGTAGAAATTTGTGATACAACTCAAGAAAGGATCATTAACTTTGTTTATATTGTGAAGAGGACACTTGACAATTACCAAAATATAGCAACCAAAGGAGGACATAACCAGAATATATTGGTTATTCTACAAGGGTAATAATTTTACAACCTCTGATTCTCATGCACAAGTTGACAACATTATAATATCCACACACAAAGATTCTCCCAAGCAATATAAATAATCCAATAACCCCTTCAGCTACCACACATTCTTCATATCAGTGGGAACAAAGACTGCCATAACAAACCATGAAAACCTTTCCTGCTAAATGAATCTAACTGAAGAAAAAACACCGCAAACCACTAATGCAAGATGATTGAGAATTGAGAAAACACGCATTCAACTGAACCTCTTCTGACCCCTCCCCAAAAGAAAATGATAAAAAAAGATGGAAGAAAAGAAGAGGAATTTAAAGGACTGCCATGTGCAAGTGTTTTGGTGAAATTGGCACTAGCAGAGGGATGGAAACAACACCATTCTAAAGAGAGGCTTGAAAACTTGAAGACAAAGGTGATTGCACTTTATTTCATCATGGAAAGAAACAGATAGGTCTATTGATAAAAAAAAAAAAAGAAACAGATAGGTCTGGGGTTTACAAGTATTTATTGATCTTTCAAATTCTAAAAGGTTGGCTTCTGTTAGATGTCCATTCTACTTTTTTTATCTGTAAATATGTAGACTCCTAAATATAAAATTATGAAAAACTTCCCCTTGAAGTCAGATTTATTAAGTACTCAATATCATCCGTTTTATCGCATAATTGTAATTTATATTAACTTATTTATGAGATTGCACTAATACCTTAAATTTAGAAGATCAGAGCCTAGGCACTGACTAGTCATGACATAAACTGGAGAGGCCAAAACAATTAATCACCTCATCACCTCACAATGTTGATAACACTGCTTGGGGCCTTCAGGGGCATTCTTGTATAGTATCTTTCATATAGGATGTTAGAGTGAAAGGTTGGTCTTTCTTTCTTTTTATTTCCATTTTCCTTTCCCTGCTCGGTCTCATCTCTTCTCATTGTTGTTTTCTCATGCAATCAGATATTAACCCTTTTTCTATCAAATATTAACTTAGTAAACCTAACTCAATGCAAGATAAAAGAGTTGGATAGAAGAAAATTGACTCTAAAAAGAAGTAACAAATTATTGCTGAAGTAATTGTCCTATTTAATGATAAGGCAATCCAACCTGCAAAGCATGAATATCATAAATGACTAAACTAGTTGGACCACCCCTTGATACAGGTATGTTTGACAATATCCTTGCCATGGTAAATGCAGTCGCAACATCCCCTTCCTCTTCCATGCGCTCAAAAGAACCAGTTGGAAAGAAGGGTAAAACCAATGTGAAAGAAGCAACAAACAGCCGTGGCAGGGCAAATATGACAGATAACTGTTCAAAGATGACAGCTGGGGAGCTGAAGGATGCCAGGAAAGCAACATGTTGGCCCCGGATATCTTGGGCATTGTTAATGAAAAGGTTTGGGAATCCATCATCAAAGCTCCTGAGAAATGCACAGAAACAAAAATGTATCACTTATCTCTTAGAGGAAAGAAAATTAGACAACTAGAAACCGAAAATAATTTGCTTCTTTCAAAAGTAGTACTCTCCTTGTATAGCTCCATTGTACAATCCCTTGATGTACATGGACCTCTAATTAATTTTGCTGGTTTCTTAACATAAAACCTTACTTTTCAGGAAAAAACATAGTATTTTCTTTTCAGTGCACTCACAACAATGTTTTGAAGTTTGGTATAGAACAAACCTACTAAGTAATGGTAATTTTTATGTATATAAAGTTCCATTATTGATCTTAGCTAAAAAAGGTCTAATCGTTAGAATCCAATGGATTTGTAAAAAAAAATTACCAATATCATTTGCTAATAATAGTAAACATTTTCGTAGGTCTTTTAGGAATTATGACCACCAAAACTTTTACCATAAACACAGAATGACAATGATTCTAACATTGAATAATGAATGACAATAATTATGAACAGAACAAGAACTTTTAAAAGGAAAACTCTCATAGGAAAGGATGTTTTATTGATGTTGGGATTACCAAAATATACATAATGACAATTTCTTAGACATACCCTTTATACATACGAGAACCTATAGTGAGAATTATGCATGGGGAATTATCCAAAATAGAAAGAAAAGATAAAAGAGAACACATGGAAAATGACGATGAAAACTCCTGTATCTAGGTAGATGAGAGATGATACGAGAGACCACCAAAAGTCCAAAAAGAACAAAATTTTAAGAGAAAATGCAGAAAATAAACCCATGAAAGATGTCAGTAACAAAAGAGAACGAAATAAACAAAGAGCCTCCATGGGAAAAACAATCATTTTCAAGATAAATGCAACAATAAAGAGAAAGAAATGCAATATGGAGAACACTGAATATACAGATCGAAGAACAAGAAAAATGAAAAATAATTTGTTGAGAAAAAAGAGGTCAATAACTCAGTTTTTTTCTAAAATGAAGAAAAAAGACACCACATAAAGACTACGATTTAAGAATCAATGTCTAATACTTCATAACACAGGAATAAACGCAGGGAAAATATTCAAAGGCAATAGGAAAACCGTAAAATTACCCCGAGAACTCCGTGAAAGACCAAATAAAATACGAATGAGGAATACCCAGGTAAAGAAATGAAAAACTCGAGTCCTGTTTTCGGTAAATCGATCAAACGTATAGGAAAAGGAACAAGGATGAAGAAGAATTATTCAAATAAGCATGAAAAAAAATGTTGCATTAAACGAAAGAAGGAGGAATAAGAAAACAACAAAAAAAGAGACAGAGGAACATAAAGAGAACCAAAGCTCTTGAAGAACTGAAAGAAAATAGATAAAAGGGGAAAAACAAAGCTCCAATTTATGGACTGTAGTTGAATATAAGGAAATGGAATACTGTAAGATTACCATGAAGAACTTCATGAAAGAGTAAATAAAAGACGAACAAAGAAGATCCAGATATAGAAATGAAAAACCCAACTCTTGTTTTCTCTAAATTGTTCAAATAGATAAAAAAAAAATAAATGAGACTGAACTAAATATCTTCCAATGTGAACATCATAAAGGCTATATCAAATAAAAAGAATTTAGAACGAAAAAGAAAAAAGGAGAAACGGAGCGCTTCGAACAGTACGGTATTAACACAAATAAGAAAAGGCAAAACCTCCAATTAATGGACTGAAGTTGAATACAGTCGGATTGTGCAGCAACTCTTCGAGCAAGATCTTCATACTCCACACAGTGGAAGAGAAGAACTTGCTTCTTCCTCGCCTTCTCCATCACTACTACTCTTCTGTGCCACTGCTATTTCTTCGAAAAGTTAAAAAACGTTGTGCTTTACGACTTACGAGTGAGGCGGAGAGAGAGCCTACCAACCTCCAAACGCAAAGCTGCTGCTGCAACTATTTAGAATCCTTCCTCCAACCAATAAATGCATTTATCGCGCCGTGTGCCTACTACGTGGATCCCACTAGAGAATCCGACCCGGGTCTAAAAGCCTATACCCAATTCTGTTCGTGTATGTTTCGGATCTCACAAGATTCGGGCCAGGGTATGACGGGTGGTTTCAGACAATAAGTCAATAACCCACCAAGTGATTGAATCTTCACGTGGAATAATAGGAAAAAAAAAAACGGAACAATGTTTTAAAAAGCGACCCGGAACCGTTCTGGCCACCGGTTTTTGGGTCGATGGTTCAAATGTCCGGCTTTAACAGATAGCCTGTTCTGACAAAAATAAAAAAAAATAATTAAAATAAAAAAAATGACCAAAACCATTGAATGAGTTGACCGGGTTAATGGATCGATTGCGCAGGTCAACGGGTCATTGACCTATTCAACAATTTTTGGCTAGGGATCGAGTTTGGGGTAAAACGGAACCGATTGATTGGACGGTTCCTGGATTGAATGGTTCAAAGACTATGGAAAAAAGGATAAATTTCTATAACATCCCTTGAAGTTTTTGATCGTGACTAAAACCTTCCTTCAAGTTCGATAATTGCATCAGCTCCCTTGAACTTTATGTTATAGTTGCAAGTAGGTTCTCTCTTAGAATCTTCTAACAAGAGGTACAAAAATGTCCAAAATACCCATGTGATTACTATTGAGGCTAATTTCTAAGAAAAAATAATACAAACTTCATAAAACAATGACAAAAGAGAATTTAAAGTTGCAACTTTACCCGAGTGATTGATATGAAAATCAATTTTGGAAAATAAATCAATTTCATAAAAGAGATGGAAAGGGTTTGGGTTAAAGATTCATGGATAGTCGAACCATTCAAATCGGGAACTGGTCATGTCTCTGGGTCCGGTTTTGCTTTGGACCGTCAATCTTCAAAAAAGCATTGAAATGGTCAAAAACCACAGACCTGGGCGGTTGAACCGCTAAATCGTTTGACCCAAGCAACGATTCACGATTTTATTTAACTTTTAAGAAGTGTAAACAGAGGAGATCTCAGATCTAATATAGAGATATTAGTTCTCAGATTTCATATCTGAGATCACTGAGATGAGAGAGAGGGAGCGGAAAAGGGAGAGAGAGAGAGAGAGATCTGAGGTCAGATCTACTGCCACTGGCTTGTCGCTACTGTCTAATACCATCGTCACTGTTGCCATTGCTACTGCCACCGCCACCACCACTGTTGTCGTCATTGCAAGTGAACCACCACCACCACCTCCTTCTCCTCCTCGTCCCCCCCCCCCCTTCTTCTTCTTCTTCTTCTTCTTCTTCTTCCTTTTATTCTTTATTTTCTTTCCTTTTCATTCTTTCTTTTCTTTCTTCCCCTTCCTTTCTCTCTTTTCTTTCTTCACTTTCCTTTCTCTTTTTTCTTTGTTTTCCCTGCCAACATACTTCCCCTCTATTTATATTTCTTCCTAACCTGACCTAATATGCTAATTCAATGGTCAAGATGCAAAAAGTTACCTTGACCATTTCGACCTGGATGATCGAACCTCTGACCTAGAAACTGGTGGCCAAAGCGGTTCAATGTTCGAGTCAGTTTCTAAACCTTGATATTAAGAGAAAATTGGAAAACAAACATTTTAGTCAAAAGTAATTGTATGGACATTTTGGACATTTTCTTACCTCTTTTTAGAGGATTTTAACAAAAGGGGTCTACTTGCAACTATATTAGAAACTCCAAGGGAGGTGATTGCAATCACCGAACTTTAGAGAAGGTTGCAACAACAACTAGAAATTTCAGGGGAGGGTGCAACTATTTATCCAAAGGTACGTTTTATTCACAGGAATATGATCTGAAATAAGAATCAAAATGGCCCATTTCAATTTCAGCTATCGTTTAGAGGGAATAGGATTTTGATTCTCATTTCTAGCATTCCTCTATTTGAGGGAATGGTTATTCCGCCTCTTGGGAAGGAGAATCTTATTCCACCTGACAAAAAAAGTCATACATATCTTGCATTTGTTTGGTTTTGTGGGTGTTTTTCCTGCGGGGAGTTTTTTAAGATCAACGTTTTTTCAATAAGCGCCAGTTTTAAACGTTTAATCCTTTGACTGTTTAGTTGGATGTTTCTAGTAACACCCCATAAAGTTATTGGTGTTTAAGTGTGATGGAGTTGATTTAATAGTCCTAATTACTCATACGTGAAACCAATGGATGATTTTGAGATCCAATGGTTGGGTAAAAGCATAACTAATGGCTGAAATAGTCTGTATATGTCCATAGTGTGTGAAATTGAAATCCAACGGTGAATCTTGTATGCGTGCTTTGTTGATTCATTTGACTTCGATGTGTTTCTTCCATTTTGAAATCTGGGTTTTGTTCTTTCCATTCTTGAGGTTGCCTTCAGTTTGATTTGTGGTTTTCTAGGGTTTCATCTTTCATATTTAACTTGTGGGTTTTGAGGTTCAAGACGAGTGTCATATTCCTGAGATAACAATAGAGATCTGAAAAAAAGAAAGAAAAAATTATTTCCTAATTAATAATAATAATCGGTGATGGCTAAATTGGATTCGACGGCCGACGGACATACCTTCGAATTGGGTTATAGCAACAAATAGCAAATCGTAGACATTGTGTGGTCAGTGGGACTTGCGGCAAGAAATAGCAGTTATGCAAAACAAAATAGCATTTCGTCAAAAGGAAGGAGCCTATCAGTATATCCCACCCTATATTGAGAACATCTCTCGATAATAACATCGTTATCATTGGGAGTGGTACCATGATGTGAACTCGAACGAGAGGTTTTTGTGTGCAAACGACGATGGAAATGTTTTCCTCATAGGCATACGAGTGGTTAGGGGTTTTGGATTAGAGGTAGTTTTTTTTTTTTGGATTTTGATAGTCTACGATGCATCGGGTCTTAACGTCGGGCTGCCACATTAGCTTCTATGATCCGCGTTTTGGGAAACGTCAGAACATTGGGGAAAGTGAGAATTTGTTACTTCCCCAACAGCTTTAGTCATGAAAATTGAGACATTTCTATATTTCACCATTTTTCAATAAATAGCTAAACTAAATAGTGGGTCACCATTTTTTAAGAAAACCCCCACGAAACCAAACATAACATGCTCCTTATAAAAACAAGTTTCTCATCTGAAATAAATTAATAAATAAAGAAAAAATAACTCCAAATTCAACAACAAACCAAATAGGACCCTATCATACATTTGCTCAAATGCCTATCAAGCTCTCAACAATGGATTCAAATGGTATCTATGAGGGCAGATTTGGCCCTCCAGTAACATTGGAAAACCTGGCACCTCAAAACAATTAGGTGACACCCGGGACCACTTTGGCAACAACTTGCATTTGTTAAGTTGATGGTGTCCCACTAGGCGTAGCCTGGCACAGGCGCGGCCTGGCACAAGCACGGCCTGGCACAAGCACGGCCTGGCACAGGCATGGCCTTGGCACGAGCTGGCAGCTTGGCCCTGGCACGACCTGGCCCTGACACGAGCTGGCAGCTTAACCCTGGCATGCACCGACCTGGCGGCCTGGCAACCTCAAAAAGCACACCTCCGTACTCTATATCCCATAGGACCGTACTTTGTAACGGTCACATTAGTTCACCAACTCCCCGATTCAGATGGGAAGGGACAGTCCTACTGGTTGATGGCATTTTTCCCACCTAACACGCAAGCAGGTCCCGTCATAGCGGGAATCCAAGAACTGCTCCACCTAACCCACGAGGACTCTAGTATATAAAGGCCTCACC